AAAACGTAAATATTGGATACGAAGTTCGGGGGACATCTTCATGAATATCTGTCTGTGGTTCAAGTCCTCCACTAACTTCAAGGAGTTTAGATGGAACAGCGTATCCGCCCTAACTTCAGGATATGTATCCAGAACTCGAAGAAAGTTGTATATGGTGGTGTCATTTAAAGGACTAGGTTGAGCTCCACATACTTCTATTAGTTTATTTATTGAGCTTATGATCGAAGCGACTCCTTCTGATTTCCTTTTCTCCACCTAGGTTGCTTTGACTAACATGTGGATTTCAGCTGGTTTGGGTTGGGGCCTTCACCTGACCCACCTACCTACTCGACCTCCAAGTCATCTGGTATACTTACAAATCCATGCTCACTTGGGGTGAACACATACATGTCATTCGCAAGAACTCCACTAAACATAAGGTCCAATTTCTCCTCCAGGTCCAGCTCAATGCCACTTACCTTGAAATTTTTGGCAGTTGGAACTGCCTGCAACGAACACGAAAGTATATCAGTTAAAACAAATGAATGGAAGAACCAATATTTAGAGGTTTACTTATTACCTCCAACTTCTCAGTCCACCTTCTCAGTCCACCAATCCTCTTAAAGCATCAATGGTCCGCTTGATAGGATCCCAACCCAAGCCCGTGGATCCCCGTTTTAGTTTCTTCCATAACTTCCAGTCTTTCTTCAACTGATCTCACCTGTTATTAAATTTTAACCTATCGCAGTCCCTTCCTATCATTTCGTGGAACTTCTTCGTAATATGCTGCCACCCTTCTTTGTTAAAGTAGGTGATGAGTTTATTTCCAAGCTTGATCGACTTAATACAGAGGTTGCAAAATATGACTGTGACTTCCCTATTTGACATTGCTGATGAAGCCACTTTTTAGGTTTTAACTATTATGTTACCAATAAAAGAAATGAAACAAGAAAAAAACTGATGTAGCCAGTGAAATAATAAACATGATAAAAAAGAAAGCTCAAACAAAAACAAACCCATAAACTCAAAAAACCATAAAAACCAAAACAAGAAAACACAAAAATGAAAATCTGTTCAAAAATTCAATCCAAAATGTGTTGCTGATGATGATGTTGATATAGAAATAATGAAAACCTCAACACCTTCATGATTTTTTTCACCATACATACTTGATTTTAGCCACAAACCAGTCTCAAGATAGCCACCAACCAAGCACAACCCACCCCCATCATAGCTACAACCCACCCCCATCACAGCTCTATCACGACCGCCACTCAGTCACAACCCAGTCA